ACAATGCGGTATCACGACCACGAATCACGTAACTCTTTTAGGGTCGTAGTGAAACCATATGTACTGCAGCCGTTGTAGAAGTGATGTTTCTTGGGCAAGATAGCATGACGGAACCACACCCTCTCCAGACCGGTTTTTTTTTTAAGTGAATTTAATGGATCCAACTAAAATTCGAACTCGGCTATTCGATTCCTCAAACTAATCTATAATTTCACCGATCATCGCAAAAACAGCATAATACGGTATCACGATCACAATCGTGAATCGCGTAACTCGTTGGGAAAATGATGTTTCTTGGGCAAGATAGCCTGATGGTGCCCAACCCTCTCCAGGCCGGTTTTGAAATCAGAGATTCACTTTTGCTATGCCGGTGGCCTCTTAGGATATAGAACCCAGTCCTGATATTTACCCATGGATAGTGGTGGAAAGAAGAAGAGGATTCATACTTTTCTCAAGGGTATTAGCAAGTATGTGAATGTAATGGATTCGACTGGAATTAGAAATCGGCTCTCCGATTGCTCAATCTCATGTACAACATCACAGATAACCGCAAAAGCTCTAGTAACAAAATGCCGTATACGAACTAATAAATAAGAAAAACAGAGATCTGCTCGAAATGAACAAAAAAAAAACTTTCTGGTAGCAGCAATTTTTTTTCTGATAAAATTATTTATTACTGCTTCCTCAAAAATGTTTATACATGAGTTTATCTCTCATTGTAAAGATTTTCCAAGCGTAGCTTAGATGTGGTACAAGGCCGAAAGTATGAGGCATCCAGTGAGGATCGAACTCACTTTTCAGTCTTATCTGATCTAGCAAGACAAGCTTGCTAACCATTACACTACGCCGAGGTGTCCCTTGTCTCTCATTGTAAGCTATTACCCCTGCCTCGAGAGGCGAAACGTGTTGTCTAAACAACTTTTACACTTGTCACATTCATATACAGGTGTGTGTGTGTGTGTGTGTGTGTGTGTGTGTGTGTGTGTGTGTGTGTGTGTGTGTGTGTGTGTGTGTGTGTGTGTGTGTGTGTGTGTGTGTGTGTGTGTGTGTGTGTGTGTGTGGAATCAGAAAATAATGATGATGGAACAAACAAAGACATACAACGTTCTATGTCGATATTAATTAAGCTCAGCTTATTTCATTGATAATCGTGAGAAATCTCTGTTTTAATGCGCGGGTCAACTCGTAGTTCGGGTCAATAATACTCCAAAGGTAAACACTGGAACACAAGATTAGTGAAAGAACTGTTTAATCGCGTAGATTAATATAACATTATTAGCGAATACCGCAGTTATTACGACACTCTTTGCGACTTTCTTTTGACGACTAGTTTCATAATCAATGGAAGAGCCCATGTTCAGCACTTTAGTGTAGAGAGGATGGGTCGTCTTTCTACACAAGATCAAACTCACTAAACAAGAAAATAATCATTTCACCATCTTGCTAAAAATTGCTCTACACAAATCTATATGAATCTCACTTTAGCACAGAGCCACATTTTTTACGGAATCATAGGAACCCATGCAGACATCGAAGAAAAGAAAGGAAAGAAAGGAAGTTTGAATAAATAGCACAATGGCAAACAGAGGTTTTAAAGGAGCAAATATTGCTTAAAACATTAAAGTATAGGAAGCTGTGGAGAACCGTTATATCGAAAGAATATGGCACATGGAGAAGACTGAAATATGCAAAATATATATTACTGACTGTCATATATTTTTTACAGATGATATCGTTGTAGGTTGGTTGTTTTTGTTTAGCGGCATATCAACACTTCTATGGGTTATTTAATGACGAAATCTAAATATCCTGTACGCAATTTTATTTATTTGGAGTTAATAATGATTTTAATGATACAAGTCTTACTAATTAACCCATAGCTAGGGGAGAAGAGGTGGATTCCTGCCTTTCCCAGCGGTAGTAGCTCGTAAGTTAAAATCCCGAAAGTAAGGGGAATTCGAACTCAGCTCTCCGATTAACAATTCCAAACAATTATTCATTAAACCACCCGCACATCCCAGCTTACAGCATCTGGTATTCCCATGCGGACACCCATCTAAGGACTGAGTATGATCAATGTTGCTTAACTACGGTGATTGTACGGAAACAGGTGTTTCAACGTGATATAACCGTATGCTCTTTTACGGCTGAAGAAGAGGATATAAGATGTTGTTCTGTGAGAATACCATAGACATGATACGAGAGCAATGAAATAAATGGTTGAAATCTCTGGAGCACATTATGTAGAAGGACGGCTTGGAAAATTTAATACTCACAAGACGTATCGAGGGAAAAAGCGGTAGAAGAAACGGCGAGTATCTTGCCCAATGAATTTGTGCGAAATGATAGCAGAGAAAAAGGACAAATAGGAGTGGTAAAGAACCCAACGTTCCTTAGTGATCCATGTAAGAGGACGGTGTGGAGAGTCATGCTCACGCACATCTTTAAAGGGATTTATTATTTCACCCTCACTACAGTCTCATATTCTTGTAGTTGATTTAAAAGTTTACTTAAACTAGCGTAAAACCACAATTTTGAGACAGTCCGTGAAGATAGAATTCATTACGTGCTATTCAGAAAAAGCAGCTAATAAAAACATGCAATAACTCCCCGCCTTGAAATATGGACAATTTAACTAAAGAAGAAATAAAGGAAACCACTTTTTCCAATGACGGAATGTTACAAGTTTCTGGTTACTTTATCGTTATTTTCTTTGCAAATGTTCAGACAAGATACATTCATTAGTTCTTTGTTCAGGCCATCACAGCTAGACTCCGCTCTGCTACGTACACAGGATTAACTCATTTCCATTCTTTTTATACCCTATCTATAAGTAAGAACTTTCTCTCATCTAAGACACCCATCTAAGGACTGAGTATGATCAATGTTGCTTAACTACGGTGATTGTACGGAAAGCGGTGTTTCAACGTGATGTGACCGTAGGCTCTTTTACGGCGGAAGAATAGAACATGTGGTTCTGTAAGAATATCATATACATGATACGAAAGCAATGAAATTATTTGATATCTCTGGATCACATTATGTAGAAGAACGGCTTGGAAAATTTAATATTCGCAAGACGTATCGAGGGAAATAGCGGTAGAAGAAACGGCGAACAACTTGCCCAATAAATTTGTGGGAAATGATAGCAGAGAAAGGAAATGATTTAATCCTGTGTACGTAGCATAGCGGAGCCTCGCTGTGATGGCCTGGACAAAGAACTAATGAATGTAGCTAGTCTGAACATTTGCAAAGTAAATTGTGGTTTTAGGCTAGTTTAAGTAAACTTTTAAAGCAACTATCTATGAGTAAGAACTTCCTCTCAAACTGTGTCTTCCCTAGAACTGTTATTTCCCCCATTCCCAGAGAGGATACCTCTCCGATGACTATGATGTCAACCGCTTCAAGTCTAGGGTCAACACTTATCTACCGGACACATCTTCATAATATGTACTTCTCACTTCCTCTTCTTACGCCTGACAATAACCCAATTCAAATACTCTCTACATTGAGTGGCTCTTGTGTCTCGTATTGAACTAACAATATTTAAAATAATCAACAAATTAAATAAAGTAATGTTATAGGATAATCACTCAAATCCTTTTTTTGGATTAAAAAATATTTAGATTTTTTTAATCAATCACGTACACTCTAATAATAAATGAAATAATAAAAACATCATTCAGTGATACATTATGAGGAAAGGCGGCTTGGAAAATTTAATACTCTCATGACATATTGCGAGATAAAGGGGTAGAGGGAATGGGTAGCAGAGGAGGGAAAAGGAGAGATGCTGAAGAGCCAAATGTAGATAATAGCTACAAGAGACAGGGCGTTGTGGACGTAAAGAGCTGTTCCCCGATTACAATTGATAAAAGCACTGGTTAGAAATTGTAATAGACTTTAAGTAGAATATAACAGGTTGCATTACCAAACTTGTACACACAATAACACATACATGCCGGATATACTTGTGTATACTGCGAGTTTTTTTAAGATCAGTTTTTAACCCCCACCCCATCCACCAAAATAGGGGGTCGCACTATAAGCAGGTATTTTTTTAAGAAGAAGAAGAAGTTAAAAATCCGGCATTTTCGGTTGCACTATACACAGGTGTTTTCATTGCGAATTTGGCTTTCTTATCTACTAGAAAATAATTATCTACACCGTACAAAATTTAATTTGAGTCAGATCCATTACATTCACTTACGTGCTAATACCCTTGGGAAATATATGAATCCTCGTCCCCCGCCAGCTATGGATAAATAGCAGGACAGGCTGGATTCTATAGCCTTGTAGGGCAACTGGTCTACCGCAGAAAGAAATGTCAACCTACTGTGGGAAGAAAAAATCTGCCTCGTCAGTTATGTATCGAAAGATACATGATCGCCTAAGCGTGTATCACACATGACTGAGTGATTTAGAGACAAGGTGGAGTACTGGATTCAGGAATCGGAGATCCGAGTCTGAATTCCAGTCGGAGCCATGGCATTCACTTAAGAAAATTTACTTGGTAAAGATATGAATCCTCTTCTTCTCCACCTCCTCCTTCAGTTATGGGTAAAAAGGAGGACAGACCGGGTTCTATAGCCTTGGATTGCAGATGGTCTACCGCAGAAAGAAATGGTAACCTACTGCAGGAAAAAATCTACCTCGTCAGTCATGCATCGAAAGATACATGATCGCTTACGTGTGTATCACGCAAGGCACATAACTGACTGAAACATATTATAACATGTATATAGCATAAAGAAAATGCAATTAAGATATTAAAAATGTTTCTTTTATTCATATTCTAGCCATAAACAGCATGTAGATCGGCTTAAATATCTAAGATATCTACATAATAAAACATCATGACATTTATATAACATAGAGAAAATGTAATTAAAATATTTTTTTAAAAATCTATTAATAATATTCTAGCGATAAGCAACACGTGCATCGGCTAAAAATATTAAACAGGAGTATAGATAACACACCAAAGTAGATTCTTGACATTTAGACCGCAATATAATGTGTAGATCGCATACCAAACTAGATCCAGGGCACGTAGACCGCAATATAGTGTAGATCACATACCCATCATTACACGTAGATCGCATACACAAGTAGATTCATGACACGTAGATCGCAATATTAAGTAGATCACATTACCCATTGTTGGAATAATCAAGAGTGGTATCCCCTTGTCTTGTTACTCTCCTCTTTGGGTGAGCTATTTCTGTTTACTGGGGCTATAAAAGGACACTATACGCGAACATTATATTCTCAGTTGAATAAAGATTTCTTAAAAACTACACCTGCATACTTTTGTCATTGCACCTATCATGACACGTAGATCGCAATGTAAAATGTAGATCAATAACCAAAGTAGATTCATAACACGTAGATGACAACCCATAGTAGCACTTATTTTTAATGGAAGGGCGAAAATTCATGCTAGGAAGTTCAGGGGTCGCACTGTATGTGAAGTCGACTGGTACACGAGTATACGTGGTATATACACGCATCCACTACAGAGAACCGTTACGATACGACACAAGTGTCATACCAACTGTACCAGTGGGCCTCGGTGACGAAGAGGTAACGAATTAGACTCAATATAGCGCCGCTCTTAACATATTCCGTGAAATTTGGGAAGAGCGGCGCTATATCGATTCTTTGAATGCTCTAGATGGAGCCGCTTGGGGATAGAAGTCGTGGCTCGTGGGGGCTCAGTTCTATGGGTAAGGAAAACTCGGATGAGTTACACCACGAAATTTGAAAGGAGCGGTGCTATATCGAGTCTAATTCGTTACCACTTCGAGGTCCTTTGGTGCAGTTGTTATGACGCTTGCGTCGTATCGTAACGGTCTGAGTTCAATTCTCGGTAGTGGATGCACACTGCTGATGGGTCCCAAATATAGGACGAAACGGCCATTCTGTTGAGGTTTCTTCTAGACTCGATGAATTAATTATATATATGTATGTATGTATGTATAATTTTATTTAATTTTAATTTATTTGTAACAAACAGTTATTTCTGATGAAAAATTGAGGACAATTTGAAATATCAAATATATATATAAATAAATAAATACTTTCATAAAATAAAACATTATAATTTTTAATTTGAAAATTTTCTATATATATACATATTAAGAAAGTATACGTGGCTTCTCATTATACTATATATATATATATATATATATATATATATATATATATATATATATATATATATATACATGAATGACAGAAAGAACAGATGGAATAAAATTCCACTGTTGGTAGAATTTACTTCTAAAAAGTAGAGCAATATATATTTTTTTACAAGATATTATAATAGAACCATTCTTGAAATCGCTACACAAAAGCTTTCATGTTTCAATACTTTGATTGTATTTCTTCAGGCGATTGTAAGTAACTGCTTAATCAAGTACAATCAAAGTATTGAAACATGAAAGCTATTTGCGAAGTGATTTCAAAGTTTTTATTATAATCTCTTATCATAAAATAATAATATAATAATAATAATAATAATAAATATATATATATATATTTCATATAAAGTGCTTGTGTTATTGAAACAGTGCTCGATGTTATATAACAGAGCTATAAAGTATATACATAAACATGGATATCTCACACAGTTTTCAGTACCCACATTTTCATGACAAACGCAATTACGTTCAGCACCTGAAGATTGCGTTTGGCATGAAAACTCCGAGTAGTGCTAATGTTGATATATATATATATATATATATATATATATATATATATATATATATATATATTATCTTGTTTATATATATTATTAATTTTCATTCTTTGTGCTCTACAGAATTGTATTGAGCACTGCTTTTTAAAAATATAAATAATTAATAAGAACATCATACTTATTATAAAAACCAGGTTGTGTGTGTGTGTGTGTGTGTGTGTGTGTGTCTGTACGGTTATATATTGAATCGGATTTCCTACATTTTTCAACCGATTTCAACAAAACTTCACACGACTACGTAAAATTACCTGGCGCTGGTTCTGACAGCACCCATAATTGGAAAAACACAATTGTTTTTGCATGAAATCAATTTGAAAACACGATTAAGACGCATCGCGATAATGAAAGGGGAACAACTCATATCGAGTTATA